ATTGTACAAAATAGTCCAGCTCATCCAAAACCTATGTTTCCAGGTAAAAATTGAGTGTGATTTCTTGCAGAAGTGTCCTGTCCTGGTTGCAGCTGGCAGACATGAATGGTGATGTAGCCATGGAAAAGACACACCCCAAGTCTCGCTGTTGCTTCTGACATCTGTTGTCATTTCATCAACTGTAATAAATTCATCAAACTCTGGATTTAAACACAGTATGAAAGGACATTTAATAAGAATAATTTCTAACTTCCTTCTCTTCATCAACAGACTTAACAAGGTCGAGTAAATGAGATATAGTGATTCTTCCCGAAGGGTCTGTTGAAAGCATCTTTTTGATTATGGATGCCTGCAAAAAAAATTAAATGTCAATAGAATTTTTTTTTTTCTTTTTTCAGTTAGCACAGTAACCAAAAAATATATTAAAACCCCATACCTCTGGTGGAAATTTGTTCATGAAGCACTCTGGAAGCTCACCTTTTCTAGCAGAAGGCCATACCTGAAATTAATAAAAGAGAATAGTTTTGGTATGCTTTAATTTGTTATGTTTTGTATCTCTACCTTATGACCCATAAAGTTTACTGAAGTAATCAGGAAAACACAAATCTACAGGAAATGTAAGGCTTCAAAAAGAACTGTAAAGAGTTTGAAAGCTGGGGCTTTTTTTCATTTAGTTGTGCTTTGGTTTGGTTTTGATGACATCCTTTTCATCAATTATTATCCATTTCTAAGCTTAAAAGCTTCACACACTGTAATGACATGTTTGTTTCAATAGTCCTCTGTATTCCAGAACCATTATCTTTCTTTCCTTAATTTAAAAGCAATGGATTTATTTTGTCTAATGGCATTAAAAGAAAAGAAAAAAGCAAGACAGCTGGATTTCTGTTTGCAAGCCAAGCAGAATGCAGTTCTGTGTCATTGCATAAAATACCACATGGACTTCAAAGCAACTGGATTCGTCATTACATGCTTTAAAAATAGCTTTTGGTTAACAATTTTTTTTTTCCATATGACACTGTCTCTCACAACATCCTGATAGTCAAGCTCAGGAGGAGCAGGCTGGACGAATGGATGGTGAGGTGGACTGAGCACTGGCTGAACAGCAGGTCCCAGAGGGTCACACTCAGCAGCACAGGATCTAGTTTGAGGCCTGTCACCAGTGGTGTCCTCCAAGCTTCAGTACTGAGCTTGAATTGAGCTGTTGTTTAACTTGTTCATCAATGACCTGGATGAAGGGGCAGATGTGTCCTCAGCAAGTTCACTGATGACACAAAGCTGGGAGGAGAGGCCAATACCCCAGAGTGCTGTGCAGCCCTTTGGAAGGGCCTCAACAAGCTGGGCAGATGGGCAGGGAGGAACCTTCTGGAATTCCACAAAAGGAAATGCAGGGTTCTGCACCACTACACGCTGGGGGCTGACCTCCTGTGGAGAAGGACCTGGGGGTCCTGGTGGACAACGAGCCATCCATGAGCCAGCAGCCTGTCCTTGTGGCCAAGAAGGCCATGGAATCCCGGGGTGCATGAGGAAGGGCATTGCCAGCAGGCCAGGGGAGGTGATCCTGCCCCTCTGCCCAGCCCTGGTGAGGCACATCTGGACTGCTGTGTCCAGTCCTGGGCCCCTCAGGACAAGAGAGACATGGAGCTCCTGGAGTGGCTCCAGTGGAGGGTAACAAAGGGGATTGAGGCACTGGAGCATCTCTTAGGAGGAAAGGCAGAGGGAGCTGGGCCTGTTCAGCCCCGAGAAGAGGCACTGAGAGGGGAGCTCATCCATGGCTGTGAGTGTCTGAAGGGAGGTGCCAGGAGGATGCAGCCAGGCTCTGCTCACTGGTGCTGAGCAGTAGGACAGGAGGCAATGGGCAGAAAGTGATGCACAGGAACCTCCACCTGAACATGAGGAAAATCTTCTTTACTGTGTGGGTGACTGAAACAGATTGCCCAGAGAGGCTGTGGAGTCTCCCTGACTGGAGATACACTAGACACAAGCCCAAGTAATGTGCTCTAGGGAACCTTGCTTG